AGAAATTATATTTAGTTGCAAAAAACTGGCCTAGAAAAAGGTTTTTTAGTTGTTTTGAAAACATTTAAGTTTATGTTTGAAACAAAAGATTTTTTGTTTACGGACATAGATGGAAACATAAAAAACTTAAATGTTCTCAAAACGTCTTGGTGCGGAAGAATAAAAAGAATATTTGCAATAACTAAAAACCCACCAAATTAACAAACAAATTCTATTGGTTCAAAAAAAATGCTGACTAAGCGAAATAAAGTTCTAGAGTATTCTGTTGAAATGTTTTAGAAATTGTATTAATCACGGTTTGTTACGTTTTGAGATTTCTAGCATAAATTGTTGTAGGAATATATTATCAATACTATGGCTCATTCGCGGACCCACATCTGCAAAACCGTAAATCTTATAAACTGTTATTTGTTTACAAAAGTAAATGTGCAAAATATATATTATTGAAATTGTCAAAATTTTGAAAGTTTATTATAAATTATAGATTTTATTAGTATATTCTTATTTTTTATTTAAAAAGTAATTTTGTGTATCCGTTTTTTATCGTAATGTATCTTTTAAAGCAATTTTTATGATTTAATTTGTAAACAAATACTTACAAAAATAATTGCGTTTTCAATGAAGTTATTAATAATCATTCAAGTTAATAAAACTAATTATGTAACAAACATATAAGGAGTTTCTGGTTACTAAACACAAACAATGCATACAAAGTAACTTGCGGATGAACAAGTACTGCGCCTGAGGTCACGACAGAACACAAATATATAGCATGTTATTAGATGTAAAGAAAAGTTTCTAGATATTGGTTTACTAACTCTAATTAGTTTTGCTTAAGTTGTCATTCTTAAAAATTCACTATACTTTTTTCTGCTTTAAATACTAATTAAAATTAAAAAGCCCACTCACTAAACATCATCAGCGATATTGTGAAGCAGTTTTGCTTCCTCGTCTTAAAGTATTTTTAACCTTTTTAGTTGATTTCTATCTAGTTAATTTAATTTCTATAGTAATTCAATGATTTAATTATTTCATTTGTTTATCTTACTAAGAAGAATTGTTTCAAATATGTTAAACTTTTCAAACTACGCCAAACATAAAATAGGTATTAAAAAAGTTAACTTTTTTATTTATAAAATAATTTAGCTTAGATAAAACTAAAACTTGCAAACTTTGTTAAATAAAGAACATTTGTTTCCTTTTTAAACAATCGTCAGATGTTAAAAAACGTCGCTTAATTTTATTAAAAAAAATATAAAAGAGCGATGTTTCGAAAATATTAGTTCAAAACGTAATATATTTTGCTTTAAAAGATATTTTATTTATTTATTTATTTTTTTTTGTCTCTCATCGATCCAATTAAAATTTTGTGCATTTATTTTTGCTTTTTGAAATGTTCTCAAAACGGCTAAAAAATCTAAAAATTATAAAAAACTAAATAATATTTCCGTGGTCAGCAATCAAGAGCGATCGCTCCAGCTTCCTGACCAAGCCTGCATTAGGTGCTTCTGATTATGGTTTGATTTCTCTGAAACTATTATCTCACTTTTCTTCAACATCAGAATCCCCTTATAATTGTACCTCTTACAGCTATATTAAAGCTGACTGGGACTCTTTCTGTGATTTTCTTTTTAATCGTCTTTGGGTAGAGATCTTTTGTCTTCCTGCTGAAAAATGTGCTTCTTATGTAACTTTTTGGATTCAGGCTGGCATGAAATCCCTCTTGATGATTCCAAGTCAACTCTTCTCCATGGTTTTCCTCTCATTGTGCTACTGCAATTTCCAATCGTTACGATTACTTTCATATTCATCAGCAAAACAATTCTCCAGAAAACAGACGTCTGTTTAACTATTGTTAGAAACCATTGTAAAAAGGTTTTGTCTAATGTCAAAGGCCACTATCCTCATGTCACAAAATCTCTCTTATTTTATCTCAAAAATTAGCCTTTGATGACTTCTGGAGAATCTTTAACAGTATCTATAACAAGGGTAAATTCCACTTCTCTTGTATGGTTTAGATTTTGTCACCTACCTAAAAACAAAGCTGAATTATTTGCTAAGAACTTCTCATCAATATCATCTCTTGATTCCACTAGTCGAGTTTTACCTTCTATAGCCAACAAACAGGTTAATGCATTGCCTGACCTTTGTATTACTCCAGCTTCTGTATCTTAATTGATTTTTTGCTTGGACTATTCTACAACTTGTGGTCTGGATAACATACCTGTTATAGTCTTTTTCCTCAAACATCAGTTGTTTGTAATTTGTTTCTTTCTTCTTTCAAGTCCTCAGTTAATTGTTATCTTGCTCTATAAATTTCATCTTTTTTCTTCCAGTTACTTCCAGCTCTGTTTATTTGTTGCTTGCTGCCTTGTTGGAAGTAAATATTCTACATCCTTGTTGGATGTAGAATATATATATATATATATATATATATATATATATATATATATATATATATATATATATATATATATTGTTGTTTGATGATTGCCGAAGGGCATGAAACTTCAAATACCATCACAAAGTTGTATTTTTTCAAATAATCAAACTCTATTATTATTATTATTATTATTATTATTGTTATTATTATTATATATATATATATATATATATATATATATATATATATATATATATATATATATATATATATATATATATAAACATACACACATACACACACACACACACAAACAATGTATTATAGCCTTAGTTAATAACTACTGTTAATGATATTTTTAGCTTTGGCCACTTACTAATGTTATACACTTATGAATCTTCACTTAAACTGTTACACTTTTGAGCTCAAATTTGTTGAGATATCATATTGTCATTTTATGTCCACCAAATACCATGGTCAATAGGTTGATTATAGGTTGATAGGGTGTTGATAGGTTGGTGGTAGGTATTCAGCTTTTAATTAAAATAATTGTTTCATCATGACAAGAAAATGTTTTTAATACCTTTTTTTTATATATATAAAAAAAGAATTTTTTGTGTTATAGTGTGAAGAAAATTTTTTTAAAAAGAATTTTTTATACAGATATGCAAATATGTAACTCACATAAGTTTAAAATTATGCAAATGTAAAAATTATATTTGTATAATGCAATATGCAAACGTCTGTATGTGAAAACATCTGTAAAGTTGGGAGATATATTTCTTATATGATTGTGTATTTATATATATATATGTATATATATATATATATATATATATATATATATATATATATATATATATATATATATATATATATATATATATATATATATATATATATATATATATATATATATATAATTAATTTAAGCCCTGTATGTGCAGCCAAGTGCGACATAGTGTTTTTTGGCATATTCTGCTCTACAAAAATTGTCCTATAATATCGATGAGAATAATAATAAGGAATCTAACTAAAATATAATTGCAGTAGTAATTTACTTAAATAACATTTTATTTCCTAAAATTACATCTGAAATAAAACTTAAAGTAAATGAGTGATTTAGTTATATTCTGCGATTTTTTACAAGAAATTGAAAAGTTCCTGTAAAATAAGATAATTTTATATTAAAATCATAAAACTGGAGTAAACACGAGGATTGAATGGAAAAATGGAAAATGTTGTAAATCTTACAATACCACAATAAAAACTATATCTAAATAAAAACTATGTAATATTGTTTTTTCCAAGATGATAGAGTAAACTATTATTTTATCTTTGTTTTTTTTTTTTGCTTTAACATGTGTTAAAGCTTTTGTAGACTTAAATTGCAATTTCTATAAAAATATTCTGGAGTTGTGAAAATGTCTCTTAGCACTTACAAAAATGTCTTCAAAAGTATTTTTCGACAGTTAAGCGAAATTGTGTTGTTTTTGTTAAACTTGGTAATTATTGCTTTTATCATTCCACAAAATTTTGGTCACAAAAAATATAGTCGGAAAAATTTTCATATTTTTAGTTGAACAAAAATTAATTTTAATGTCAAAAATAAATTGTCAAGGTAAAAATTGTCAAATAAAGGGCAGAGGGGCTTTTGATTTTTTTGATTTGAAGACTTTGGGACTTTTTGGGGCTGCATTGTTGTTGCTGCATTGTTGTTGCAATACTGCATTGTTGTTGCAAAGCTGTTGCAGAAAATCCTTTCATTGCAGTCAGGAATTTAAACCAACTAACAAGCTACTTGTATAAGATAAATCTGAATTTTCAGCAAAGAATTACTTACTAGACTCTTTAAAAAAAATACATTCTACTCAAGATGTAAAATGTTTGTTTTAAAAAAAGTTTGATTAAATTACAAGTTTTTTTTAGGTTAAATTGTTTGCTTTTTTTGTTTTTAAAAATTTGGTATAATTAAAAAAACTAAAAAGATTTTGTAACTTGAGGTAATTGAACCTCCATATATAATTTGATTCAATTTGTTTTTAGCACAGAGAATAACTCCCTTAACCACTAAGCTACTCTGCCATACACAAAAGCATTAAAAAAAAAATTTTTATGATGATAGTAGTTTGTATAACAGTTTTTTAGTTGACGTTTTGAACAAATGCAACTATATTTATCCCTATATATCACTATATATCACTGGTATAATTTTGTAAAAAGATATTTGAAAACCACATAAATTTACATTGGGAAAAAATTTAAAAAAACACAATTTTATAAAAAAATTAATACAAATTTTTTCCACACACACACACACACACACACACACACACACGTGTTAAATTTTAGCAACCTAATTTTTAGTTATTTCAAACTATTTACTTAGATTCTTTGAAAACAAGAACAATTGCTTTACTAAAGTCAAGTGTTTGTTTAGTCTAAAATTTCTTAGGGGATTTAGTTTCTGGGGTTTACCTGTGTATCATTAAAATATATAAGTTTAAAGATTTTTTTAATTTGTTTTTTTTTTTTTGTTTGTTTGTTTTTTGTGTTTTTTAATTTTTGATATTTTATTATATTCGTTTAAATTTAAATATTTTTTTATACTTTTTAGGCTAACTCTTTACCGAGTCATGTAAAAATTGTTGTCTCACGAACAAATGTTTTTGAAGATTCTTTTCAGCAAGTAAGTTTTTAATATATGATTAATAAGGTCGTAGTTGTGGAACAACTGTGGAAAAACCACTGTATAACCATAATATAAAGATAACCTGATACTTGAACAACTAAAGATTTATTAACATATTACATTGTTAAGCACCTGGGTCTTCTTCCTTTCAGAAGTTTAATGACTAGTTTGGTTTGATATGGCACTAGAAGATAATTATTGTTTTTGAGAAACAAAACAAAAACAAAAAAAAACTTTTTTTTGTGCTAAAACACAGGGGAAAAAATTATATTAGTTTTTACACTATAAAAGTAAATTTATTATATTTATAGGTCTTAATAATAATTTTTAAAATTTTAGTTATTTTCAGTTTTTTAACTTGTTATTTTCAGATTTTCAGTTGAGTCAAAAAAAAATTGTTATTTTTTTAATCATTTTTAAATTAATTAGTTTTTAATAAATAAAGTTTATAAACTTTTAGATTATGAGAATCCCACCACATGATTTACGAAGAAGATTATTTATTAACTTTAAAGGAGAAGAAGGATTGGATTATGGAGGTGTTGCTAGGTAATTCTTCATGTTTTATTTTTGTATTATATATATATATATATATATATATATATATATATATATATATATATATATATATAAAAGAATATAATGTATATATATATAAACGTATATAATGTATATATATAAACGTATATAATGTATATTTATATACAAACATATATAATGTATATTTATATACAAACATATATAATGTATATTTATATACAAACATATATTATATATGTTTGTATATAAATATATATATATAATGTATATAAATATACATTATATATATATATATATATATATATATATATATATATATATATATATATATATATATATATATATATATATATATATATATATATGTTAGATATGCTTTTATAGGCAAAGGCTATGAGAAGCCAACTCCGACTTAAAACATTCCCTACCTTGGGGCTCTTGGTTGAGTAAAGACTAGAGATGGTGTCTCGATAAATATACTCATTTTGGGCAGATGTTAAATGCATTCCGCTACTGTTTTGTAGAAGGCCTTCTAGGCAAAGATTTAAGGAGTAAACAGATTCTATCTTCTTCATTTATTAGGTTGGCACAGATGTATTTTTATTATTGTTTCTAGTTTACGATGTTGAATGCTGGATCTTCTTGACTCAATGCTTGTGTGTCTGTTTTTATGACTAGGCAACTCATTATATTATCTCCTAATGAGGGTACAGCTCTAAAACTCAGTTTTATGGTTCTGAGGCTGGCTGGTAGTCAGGTTTCTCAAACTCTGTGTTAGCTCTCAGAGAGGCTGATTCCATCAACAGCTGAAAAATATTAAAGTATTAACAGTGCCATGTTGCGCATGGATGGTTTCCCTGTTCACACTTTTGGAACCCTTTGTTATGGCTTAGGGTTTATTAATAGTAATGAGGTAATGGCTTGGGCTATTAAACAGTGTTTTGAGTACTGTCTATGATTCTCCATGGTTTTCCTCACATTTTACTGCTGCTGTTTCCAGTCGAAACCGTTACTTCCATTTCAGCAAAACAATTCTCCAGAAAACAGATATCTGTTTATTACTGCTGGAAATCATTGTAACAAAGTTTTTTCTAATTTTTACTAAACTTTCTTTTTACGGTATATCTGGTTACATCTTTAAGATTATTGAATTCTTCCTTTCCAGTCATAGTATAAAACCTGTCCTCGATGGACAGCACTCTTCTTCATATTCTCTAACTTTAGGGGTTCCTCAAGGTTCAATCCTTGGCCTTATACTCTTTAATTTACATTAACAATCTTCCAGATATTCTCATATCTAAGGTGGAATTGATATTTTGTTGACTACGACATATTTCTGTTAAATGATCAGGTCTGTAAATTATGAAAAGACAAAAAAAATTAAAATGTTCATAAATAAAAACCTAGACCGAAGATTCTTTTTTTTAAAAAAAAAAAATCTTAAAAATACAATTGCTTGTCCAAATTGGAATAAGAAATTAAACAAAAATAATTTTTTAGGTAAATAATATGATCTGCTCTGATTGTTTTCTAAATAATAAGCTGCCATTTTTCTAAATAATAAGCTCTTTCTTGCTTGGAACTCTAGTATTTTTTGTGAAAATTGATAGAAATATTGTATTTTGACAACTATATATAGTTAATATATATTGTTCCTAGTTCAGAACCAATTAGAACTAGGATCTATAGTAAGTAGGAACCAATTATAAAGAAAAAAAAAATCAATTAGAACTAGGATCTTTAGTAAGGTACTTTTTCAAAAGATTATAACTAAATTCATGTTAATGCCGATGAGCAATAGTGATCTAAAGACTCCAAAATGATGTTCTTTAGATTCATTATTAGGGGTAGTAAAATGGCTTTGAAAATTATATAAAAATTATATAAAAAGAAAAGTTACTTTAAATCAGGGGTGTGGAGTCGTAAAAAAAAAGTAACGACTCCGACTCTGACTCCCGTTGTTGAAATTTTGTAAGTACAACTCGGACTCCGACTCTAACTCCAAAGCAAAATATTTGAAAAATTCTTTGAATTCTTTCAAAAATATTACGCGATAAGTTAATAATTTCTTTTTTGACAAATTTATGAAACGTTCTTTGAGGTTTAGTATGAACATGAAGGTTAATTGAATGTTTTGTACATGCACGTGCAATACCTAGAAGTTTTACTATTGGAGTCGGAGTCATGATTTTGTTAAGCGACTCCGACTCTGCTAAAAATGTTGCGATTCCGCAACACCGACTCCACAGCCCTGCTTTAAATATTAAAAAAAACCTTAAGCAAAAAAAATTATACTATCTAAAGCACTTGTTTGGATGTAATACGCTGATAAAATCAATTTATGATAAAAGAATTTGAACATTTTTTAATCGCCTTAACTACACTGAGTGATGAACGTTAATTCAGATAAAACTTAATTTTATTCAGCCAATCGTTGTCACAATAATTTAGATCTTCCTATGTTTATGAACAGTAATGTAAACCATTAACTTTCTTGGAAACCATATATCAAATCCATTTCAAAATTACCATCAGCTAAGGTTGCATCTCTTTATCGAGCTTGACACTTTCTTACTCCAAATTCTATTATATATCTCTATTAATCTCAATTCCGTTCAAATGCTCCAAAAACTCTTATTCCTCTAGTTTTTTTCCTCGAATGTCAGTTCTTTGGAATTCGCTTCCTTCGTCTTGCTTTCTTGATTCATATAGTTTGCAATCTTTTAAGTTGTCTATCAATTGTTATCTTGCTCTACAATCTTTATCTTCTCTTCCAGTAACTTCCAACTCTAATAGTGGTTGCTTGCAGCCTTGTTGGTAATGAAGATGTTTAAAAAAAAGAAAAAAAGCCATTATCGAACTAAAAAAACTGTTACACAAATTTAGAACACACACAGTGTTGTAATGGTACAATTTTTTGTTTGTTTTAGTTTTATGAATTTGTAACCGTTTTTTCAGTTTGATAATCGCTTATTATCAAACTATATTAGCCAAAATATCACTAAAATAATATATATCCAAACATGATGTAGTTTTTTATTATTTAAATATAAACAATATATTATTAATGGTATCACTTAAAAAATATATGTATGTATATATATATATATATATATATATATATATATATATATATATATATATATATATATATATATATATATATATATATATATATATATATATATATATCAGGGATTACCTTTTTCCGGATATTTCCGGAATTCCGGATATTTTTCTCAACTTTTAGTTTTTCCGGATATCCAAAATGTTTTCCATACATACAAGTTTAGGTATATATTTTTGTAATATATTTGTTTTTTAAGCTTTTTTACTCATCGCTCATACAAGAATTAATAAAATTAAAAAAAAAATGGAAACAACTCAGCTAAAATCAAAATCAAGGGGAATATAAGAGAAAATGCATTCCGGATTTTTTCTGGATATTTTACCGAAACAATTTCCGGATTTTTAAAATACAACCAGGATAATCTATGATATATATATATATATATATTTATATATATATATATATATATATATATATATATATATATATATATATATATATATATATATATATATATATATATCTGTGTGTGTGTGTGCATGTGTGTGTGTGTGTGTGTATGTATATATATATATATATATATATATATATATATATATATATATATATATATATATATATATATATATATATATATATATATATATATATATATATATATATGTACTATTTATACTCGCTCCACTTTTAAATATTTTTACATTTTTTGAGTTTTTAAGGGAATTTCCAAACAATCAAAGTAAAATCATTAATTATATAATAGCGTCATTACAGAGAATGGAAGGTGTTATATCTATACCAATTGTGCGCATTTTTATTACTATTTTTGTTAACTGGTGGTATTTTAAAATTGCACAATTTCATTATTAAATTTAAAAAACTTAGTTTTTAAACATGATAGCGTTGAGGCCCAATACACAGCAATTAGATTATTTTGATCTCATAAACTTTAATTCCTGGCTATTTAAAAAGAGTTTGTGCAAAAAAATTTTAAAAATTATTTAAAAAGTTTTATGGCTGACTATTATTTAACCTTCTGCCATCATGTCAGCTTATATATACAGCTTCATATAGTCAAAGCAGTCAATAAAACTGTTAAGCTGGAGAATAAACTTTAAACCATAAAAGGTTAAAAGGTTAGGTAAAGATAAAACTGATTCACTTTAAAATCTCTTTTTGCAAAAACAAAGTATATAAGTTTCTAATTTCAAATTATTTACATTTAAACTTTTGAGAAGTGCAGAGATTATTGTGAACTTGTGGGGAAAAAATAAGACCTTCATTAGACCTTTAATATTAAAAAAAAAAAAATGATTTCTTTGATGTAACAATGGCAGTTATGACAGCAGTAATTTGTGAATTTGTTGGACTACATCAGGGCTTCATAAACTTTTAAAATTTATGACCCCATTTGTAATTTATAAAAGTTTTTTTGCAACCCAAGATAAATATAAAATAAAATATTAAATATGTGTATTTTATATATGACAATGACTTTTATTTTTTTGTAAACTTATGTTATATTTTATATAACATAAAATGTAAACTATATTATATTTTAAAGAAATATAACTACTGGAAATCACCAACTTGATTGCTAATTTCTTACTGATATATAATTGGTTATAACAAGGAGTTACCATTTTGCCCATTAGATACAAAAACATACACAATTATAAAAATTGATGATGATGATTTGAATTTTTTTACAATAAAATCATTGTTAAACAACTCCATTTGGGGTAGCAACTCATAGTTTAAGAAGCTTTGGACTACATTTTAGATTTATCAACATCATTATTATAAATAACAAATTTTTGCAAGTATATACATACATACATACATTCATATATACATACATGCATATATACATACATATATACATACATACATATATACATACATACATACATACATACATACATACATACATACATACATACATACATACATACATACATACATACATACATACATACATACATACATGCATACAACACACATGTGTTGTATAAAAAATCGATTAGATCTTATTTAATTTGCAAAAAGCAATTTTTTTAAATGTCTCTTCAGATGAACTATATTTTTTTTAAATTGTGAAATTTAAAATCTTTTAAATTTTTTAGAGAGTGGTTTTTTATGCTTTCTCGAGAAATTATGAATCCAATGTATTGTTTATTTGAATACAGTGGAAAGGGATCATACACACTTCAGATTAACCCAGGTAAAACAAAATTTAGAATTTCATTTTTAATATTTTTAATATTTTTGATTTTAATATTTTAGTTTCATTATAATGATTTTAATATTTTACCTGATTCAGAAATAAAATTTAATAGCAAAATTTAATAGCAAAAATATTTAAAAAATGTTTAATAACTTTATAAAAAGTTTCTTTACCATCATCTTTAGATTCTGTAATCGTTAAAGAATCACGTTAATCACATTAATCATGTTAGCATTAAAAGAAATGCTTAAATCATCATTGTGTTTTTCTTTCAAAATTTTTAAAAAGATTTCAAAAGTTGTCAACAATATATTAATTTTTGTTGCAAGTGCTGAGATGTATATATTAAATAGATATAAAAAAATTAGGTTGCAAACATTAAAAGAAATTTATTTTTAAAATTTTCTTGTTTTAATGATAATATTTGTTAAGGTAACTTTGTGCACAAATATGTTTTTTTAATATCTCATTATTTTAGCTACTAAAATTATGTTGATGAAACTTTTCATGAATATCCCTTTTTTTATTCCATGAGTTTCTTTTTTTATTTAAAATTTATTAAAAGCAAAACAAAATTTTACTGACTAATTATCTAAGTACTTGTGTGCTAAACTGAAAGTTTTTAAATTTGAAGGTCTATTTAATTAATCTATATATGTTTTTTTACTCACTATTTTTACCTATAAATTTTTGTTTCAATTTTGTTTTAGCTTCCTATGTAAATCCAGATCATTTGGAATATTTTAGATTTATTGGTCGTGTCATAGCAATGGTATTTATTTTTTTAATTTTTTGTTTAAAATTTTGTGCGTACAAAGTTGTTTTGATGAGTATGTTTTATTTATTCTTTTTTGTTCTTAAATTTCCTAACAACTTATACATTTCTTTAAATTTATTGCATTGTAATGAAAAGTATGGTTTTTTATACTATAATTTATACTATATTTGTATAAATTAGAAAGACTTGATAAAATTTTTTGAAGTTCTTAAAGTTTAAATATGATTTAGTAAGTAGTCCAGTCCAGATATATAAGTGTCCAGATTTATGTGTCCAGAATTGTGTTTTTATGCATCTATCATCTGTTTTTTAAAGTTTTTTCTTGAATAAAATTTAAAAAGAAAAAAAAAGAAAAAAAAAAAGAAAAACTTTCAAGTATAAAAGAAAGAAATATATTTTGAAGGAGAAAGTAAGAAAATTAAAAAATAAGGAATTAATAAAACTTAAAATAAATTACACATTTCTAATTCATTGAAATTCTACAAAATTACATTTATTAAAGTACATTTAAGCAAGAAACAGTTATTCATTTTATCTTCAAGAGTTCTTATGCAATATTTGCATATGAAATGTAGTACCCGATGAAATGTATAACCCAGGACCTGTCCTGGGTACTACATCCTCAAGATGCTTACTGAAGTTTTATATTTCTTTATAAAGTTTTTGCGTGCATAGCAAAATGCAACTGTTGGATGCCACCAGCCTTTTGATTCAAATTAAATAATTCAAATAGGATTCATTATTTATTTATTCACTGATTCACAAACTAAAATTTTAGTTTGACACCTATGCTTTTATAATTTTACTATTTTCGGACAGTTCAAAAACATTCTAGAAAATTCTTTTTAGGAATTCTTTGAAGAAGTTTAGGAATTCTTTAATTTTTAAAAAATTTAGGAATTCTTTGAAGAAGTTTCTTAAAAGTCCAAATAGTTTCTTAACAATTTCAGAATTCTTGGACCTTCTGCACAATTCTATCAATTTATGAATATTCTAGAAGAATGCTCAGCATTAAAAACAAATTGAGAACTTTCTTGAAAAATTAAAAAAAATTTAAATATTGTTGTCACAGAAGCACAGAAGTTTTTGTGAAGCTACAAACAATTTTCTATTTGTTTCCAGCAAAACACACTCAAAAAAACAACTTTCAACAAATGAGGATTCTTAAGGCTGTTTTCCACCAGACAAAAAATTCTGCAAAACGAATTTTTGCGTTGATAAGCATGCGCAGATTAAATATTTTTTATTTAAATATACAGCGTATCGCTGCACCGAAAAAAAAAGTCAAATTCATTTCGACTTATTGCAAATCTCCATAAGCGAAAACCAATCAAGTTTTGAATATCATATCATGTGATGTCAACAGTAAAAAAAAGCGAAAGCATGTTGTTTTTAAAGTAGCAAAAAACAAAATTCTTAAACTGGCGTTCTTATTAATATTATATGAACTTACTCTGAAAATTGGCAAGCATGAGTATATTCATCAAATAAGGAGCAAGACTTATATAAAAAAATGGCAAAACTTATATATAAAACTAAATCGAGAATTTAAAACATAAATTTTCACACTCAATTACGAAAGTTACACTTCATAAGAATGTTTATCTTCAAGTGGCCACACAAAGATAAGTGGTGACACGAAGATAAACCTTTTTGTGAAAATCCCTACATAGAGTTAAACCTACTGTTCATTCTTGCAGTAATAGTTTTTAATAGAAATGTTCATATCAGAATTTAGTATTTATTTCCTTATACTTTCTTGTAAAAAAAAAACCTTAAATTAAATGAATATATTACAAAATAATATCACATCTTACATATAAAGACAGAAATGTTAATATTAATGCACAGAAAGAAGTTTTCACATGCTTCAAAGTAGAAAGTATGCTAAAAAAGTAATAACTGCTTTTAGTTAAACATACAGTGTAAACTTATTGCTGCCATTTTTATTGTTGACAACAAAAAAAAAGTAGCGCGAAAGTAATTGGAAATTAAAACAGCGTTTCGTCATAGCAAAAAAAATTCGCCTTGCGCAAATATTTTGTCTTGTGGAAAATGACCTTTAAATTCAGGCAGAAATTTTATATTTTTGAAAAATTATGTTAATATTTTATATTAACATAATTATCTATTTTACATTAATTATATGTTCTTGCGCTTAACTAAATCTTGTTGTTTACCCTGCTGGACATTGGTGGGTATGAAACTTCTGGACATTGGCAAACATAACACAGCTTGACATTGGTGGACATAACACTGCTGGATATTGGTGGGCATGACACTGCTGGACATTGGCGGACATTACACTGTTGGACATCAGTGGACATGACTTTACTGGACATCAGTGGATATGATACTATGGAGATTTTTAAAAAAAATTGTGAAATAAACTGCAGTTATAAATTTGTCCTTGATGGGTAACACTGTCCTTTATTTTTAGGAATTTCTGGAATCCGACAAAGTCTCTCATGGTCTTTTGTTGTTTCCTACTATATAAATGCTCCTCCTGTTAATTTTACCTCAATAGTGGCTTTATTTGTTGATGACTATATACTCTTTACAATATATGACTATATAGTCTTTACAAAAAGTCATAACTTTTTGATTATTTCAAACAGGCAGTTGATCTTGAATCAGATTTCACTACTGTGACAACTTGTGGCTTACAGTAGCAAATTTAAACCCAAGCACTTTTTACTGCAAACATAACAAAAGTTGTTTACTGCCAATAATTATCACAATATTGCTGATTTAAGAAACACACTTCTTTCAGCTTTACTTCTTTCAGTTCTTTCAGCAACACACTTAGATCTTTTACTGTAAAAGATCTAAGTGTGTTGCTGAAAGAAGTAAAGCTGAAAGAAGTGTGTTTCTTAAATCAAAAATAAAAGTTTTCTTATTCTTCACTAACCATTTTACAGCTTTTGACAAAAAGGTTTTATTTTTTAAAAGTAAGCAATAACATTTCAAGAAGTGAAAAAAAAAATTAACAACATTTAGTCTATTATAAAAAGAATAATCTATTGAAATTAAATATTTAAGACATGTTTTTTTTAGTAGATATCAAAAATGGTAAAAAAAATTTAATGAAAATAGCAGCATTTATTTTCAAATTAAAAATTTAGGCACTTTATCATGGAAAGTTTATTGACCGTGGATTTAGTATGCCATTCTATAAACGTATGCTTGATAAAAAGTTGACAATAACAGATATGGAAACAATAGATAATGAATTCTATCAATCTCTTTTATGGATAAAGTAAGTTACTGTTTGTTATTGTGTTTATCTAAAAATTTTAACTGAAATTTTTTACTTGATTTTTACTTTTTACTTTTATAATTTTGTATAGTTTTTTTATAGCTTAAACTTTTTATTTAGAATTTAAAAATTGAAATAAAAAAATATTGTTTCATATTTACTTAGATTTGTATATAAATAAATTTAAAAAAACAATACATTTGATATAAATATTAAAAATAAATTAATAAACATCTTTCTAAATAAATTTAATCAAAATTGTTTTAAAACATATTATCAAGTAGCTTTGCAATAGTTTTTTCTTTAAAAAATTTTTTCGACAATGAAGGAATCTTTATACTTTCTCATTAACATTCATACAACTTTTTTATTACAACTTTTTTTAGAGATTTTTTATTTAACATTCTTTTTACTTCATATTTTTTTGAACTGCTCAAAATATCTTAAACTAGGTTAAAATTAATTGACAAATTTAAAATTTCATACAAAAATCTCTTCTCATTAAAAAGTTATTATTATTTATAGTTTAATATTCCCCAAACTCAAAAAAATAACTTTGAAAGGTCATAACTTTTAAACAGTTTTGCGTAGAGGTTTTTAGTAATATTTAACATAACAAGTTAATAATAATTGTTTCATATTTTACAAACTATCTTTTCACAATAAATTATATATATAGTATAGCTATATATATAATTTATTATATAACAATAGCTTTATGAAAATATTTTGAATAATTTATGTGACATTTGGATACCTTGTAACCATTTTTCCAGAGCTGAGTGAAATTATGATTAAAAATTCAGAGACTAGTGCATAATTTGCTCCTTGTGCATAATTACTTGAACAAGTTTTTAAAAAAATCTATGTATGTTTTATTAAAGCATGTTTAAAAAACATTTATATAAAAAACATTGACAATTATACAATTGTTACTATATTAGGTTTCAATTTTTAATACTATTGTAAATAACATTTTAATTCCAGCAACCTGTTGTTGATTATTATAAAAATAAACAAATCTTAAAACATAATAAAGAAAACATTGAATATAAATGATATACAATAATACAAAATGGAAATAAATTTTTACTAATAACCCTGTAAGAAATATTTGTTGCTAATTCTTTATTTCTAATTGCTAATAAAAATTATGTAATTTTATAAGTTCTACATTTCAATGTATTAAATAAAAATTAAATGTGCTACAAAAGATAACCTTGCCTGCTGAGCAAAAGGTTCTAAAATTTTTACACACATCAAGAATAAAAGAAAAAAAATTCTCTTACGTTTTTATTTGATAATAATAAACACGTTAAAAGTGCTAATATTTTAATTTAAATTTGATACCTCATGCCTGAATGTCACATGTCTAAAGTAGCAAGTTCTATACAAATATAAACAAGCAGTATATAAACTTAATTGCAACTAACATAAAAAATTTGTGAGTAAAAAAAAAAAATAGTTTTATAACTAATTTTAACTTACAGTGTGATACCGCATGATACGTGTCAAGTAGCAAATTATAAAACTTAAATATACAAATTATAACAATCAGTATAAACTTTGCTGTAACTACCCTAAATAAGTCTAAGTAAACATTTTACAACTGATTTATTTTACAATTGATGAAACTTACAGTGTGACATTGTTACCATGTGCCTAAAATAGTCAATTATAAAATTATATAAATAAATTATATGGAATATTAGATGTAACAAGCCTACATAAGTATACCCATTAAAATAAATGCAAGTAAACCTTTAAATTTGATACCTCATGCCTGAATACCACATGTCTAAAATAGCAAAATATTATTTTGATAAAATCAGTACAAAACAAAACAATTTTTATACAATTTCGCAAATAACGGTACAAAGCGAAACAAATTTTTTTTTGTTTCGTGAAAAAAAAATTTTTTTTTTTGTGAAATTTCATGAAACAATAATTTCGTGTTTTGTAAAACTGGTACGAAATGAATTAAGGTTAAACTTTTTAGTTAAACTTTCATTTATTAAACAGACAAATTACAAATTAGAAATTAAAAACATTAAACAAGTTAGAAAATGTTAGAAACAAAGTTAAACGCGCATTTATTCTGCTTCAATGTTAAAGTTCATACTCTGGGGTGTGGGAATTGTAAAATATCTGTTTGGGACGGGGGAATTGTGTAATGTTCCGTAAAAACTGATACAAAACGAAACAAAGTTTTCTTGTTTTGTAAAAATACGGTACAAATTGAAACAGGCTTTACTTGTTTCGTAAAAATACGATACAAAACAATATGATATTTTTTTGTTTTGTAAAAATGGCACAAAGCGAAAATTTTTTTTTTTTATTGTATCAAACCAAACTTCTGAGAGGATACAAAAAGACGTAGATGCTTACATGACACGTATTAAAATAACAAATCATAAAAGCATATACAAACTTAAATATACAAATAGAAACAATCCATATCCAAACTTTGCTGTAACTAGCCTAAATAAGTACCCATAAAAAAAATGAAAGTAAACATTTTATAACTGATTTATTTTACAATTGATAAAACTTACAGTATGAAATTGCACGCCACATATTTAAAATTGCAAATTTTAAAAATGCATATAAACTAGCTCTATTTAAACATAGCTGCAATCAACCTAAATAATGATACCCATCAAAAGAAATGTTAACATTTTTGATTTTATAACTGATTCAAATTTATATCGTAAGTTACTACATGTCATGTCTAAAATAGAAAATTATATACAAGTCATATAGTCTATAATATATATAGACTGTATATTATAGAAGTAATTGTTATACTAACCCTTTACTTTATCATATAAAAATATTCAATGCTTTATATAGAAAATTTAAAATAAGTTTATCAACCTTTGAAATTACAAATAGCAGAGTATAATTTAAACTGTTTATCCATTTGCTTTCTGTACTAAAATTTAGTAGAAAAGCAAATGGTTAAACACAATTTAAATAACGCTTTTTTTAAATAGCTTCACATTTAGTCAAAATGTGAATTCATATTTTGAAATAATAATAATAAATCAAAATAACAGATGATAAAGTTTTAAAAGGCGTTTTTCTTAAACCACATTTAAATTGTAAATAAAAGGTTTTTTGCAGTAAATTTAATTTGTCATTTAATTTGTTTCATGAAGCTATTTTAAAAATGGCAAATTAAACTTACTGCAAAAAACCTTTTATCTACGATTTAAATGTGTTTTAAGAAAAATGTTTTTTAAAACTTTATCATTTATAAATAAGAACTATAATATATTATAAATAAGAACTATAATATATTGACAAATCTAAATCAAGATTTAAAAATATAATCTACAGAGGAAGCACTCCATAATTTTTTATGGAAACCCTTTTTAATAAAAAGTTCTGTTGTTTTTCAACAGATTTGAATAACTAATCTATTAAATTAACGAAATTTCGAATCAGTTAATAGCTAATTTTACTCCGTTAATTTTGTGATTTTTGGTTACAAATTAATTCTTTAATTTAATGGAAAAAAGCTATTCGTTGCTTTTTCTATTGGATTGTTTTTAGAGTGTATAGTTGCTTATAATTGCTTATATAGTTGCTTATATAGTTGCTTATAATTTTAATACATTTTCAACAAATTTTTAAAAGTATAATGGGGTTTGTATCAGAAAATTTTCTTTTATATTTGTTTTTTCATTAAGTTTTTCATTATATATATATATATATATATATATATATATATATATATATATATATATATATATATATATATATACTCTTGCATGTCTCTTGCGTGGCATCAAAAAATATTTCCCATAAACTGTAGTTTTAAAGAGCGCGTTAATAAACCAGACCAGAAAAAGTTTTAAAAATTAAATTATTTTTTTTAATTGATAGACTGCCTGGCCAAACCAAACCCTCAGTCGATGTAGCAGCACTCTCTTGCGAGTCAGGCTATTTGTCAGTCGTTGTAGCAGCACTCCTTTGCGAGTCAGGCTATTTGTCAGTCGATGTAGCAGCATTCCCTTGCGAGTCAGGCTATTTGTCAGTCGATGTAGCAGCACTCCGTTGCGAGTCAGGCTATTTGTCAGTCGATTTATCAGCACTCCGTTGCGAGTCAGGCTATTTGTCAGTCGATGTAGCAGCACTCCATTGCGAGTCAGGCTTTAAGATAGTCGATGTAGCAACATTTACGCATGTTTTAAAAATGTTTTTTTATTAAATCAATAACAAAAACACCACTAATTAAAAAAAAACTTTCTAGTCGTTATAATTGCGGTTTTTTAAAAATTTTTTAAAAAACAATTAAATTTAATGTACTTCCGCATAAATTAATTGCTTTGACATTTCGATGACAATCAAAAACAGCTTAAGAGACGAGGTAATTAAAATTGTAGTCGTAAGAGACTTTTTTTACATTAAAACGCTCTTTCGACTACACTATAAGGGTATATATATATATATATATATATATATATATATATATATATATATATATATATATATATATAAACACACACACACACACACATCTGTGAGTGTCAAAAAATGTAATTTAATTATTTTTGTATTGTTATATATATCTTTTTTTTCTGCAGGGAAAATAGTATAGACAATTGTGGACTTGATCTTACGTTTGCTACCGACATGGAAGTACTTGGAAAACTAACAGAGCACGAACTTAAAGTAGGCGGAAAAGAAATAGAAGTTACAGATGCCAACAAATCTGAATATATAGAGTAAAACATGAATTGTTTGAAATTGAAATTGAGTTAAAGTTGGGGAAATATAAATTGAATTAATTAAAATTAATTAATTAACCTTACTTTATAAAACTTTTAGATTAATTACTGACTGGAGATTTTCAAGAGGTGTGGTAGATCAAACTAAATCATTTTTAAGTGGATTTAATGAAGTTCTTCCCATGTATTGGCTTCAAAGTTTTGATGAAAGAGAATTAGAGGTTTACATTCTTTTATTTGCTTTGGGATTTGTCTTAATAATTCAAGTTGTTTTGCCTCAATAATTTAAGTTGTTTTCAATTATTATTTAGACTCTTTTATGTGGTATGCAAGAGTATGATCTTGATGATTGGCAACGGAACACTGTTTATCGAACGTATCAAAAAACATCTAAACAGATCTTGTGGTTCTGGCAGGCTGTAAAATCATTTGATAATGAAAAGAAATCACGTTTATTACAGTTTGTTACTGGAACTTGTCGACTACCAGTTGGTGGATTTGCTGAGTTAATAGGTAGCCATCTTGGTATCTTTACCCTCCTTTAGTCTATTTGGATGAGATTAGGTGCATAGTGAATTGTCGCGAGAGGGTTTTTTGTTATAACCAAAAAGCTGATTATTTGTAAAAAATAGTATTAAAAATATCTGGAAACAGTTTTCCATTATTCCTCCATAAAAAAGCCATACCTCTCAATAAGTTAATTTTTAAAATTACATTTTCAAAATTTGTTTTTGTTGAAATAAAGTTGTACGCATATATAATAAGTGTAGAGTTTAACAACATTAGATGTAAAAATAAAATCAATTGAGATTTAAAAGTTATTTACATCACTTACATTATTTGTTGCATAAAAGAATGAATTATATTGTTGAGCAATGTAGTTACGTTAATTGTTGCACGATTGTTGAGCAATGCAGTTACATTAATTGTTCTGCAACTGTTGAGCAATGTAGTTATGTTAATTGTTGAGCGATGCAGTTACATTAATTGTTGCACAGTTGTTGAGCAATGTAGTTATGTTAATTGTTGCACAATTGTTGAGCAATGCAGTTACATTAATTGTTGTGCAACTGTTGAGCAATGTAGTTATGTTAATTGTTGAGCGATGCAGTTACATTAATTGTTGCACAATTGTTGAGCAATGTAGTTACGTTAATTGTTGCACAATTGTTAAGCAATTCAGTTTAAAAGAAAATTATGTCTTATTCTTTTCTTAATTACTTTCAATAAACTGATTTTATACTTTATCTCTGTGAATTAATTTCAAGATGCCAGTTCACATTAATTATGTTTTTTATTATTTTAAAAAATTTAGTTTTTTTTTTAATATTATCTTATTTTTAATGATGATATCTTTATTTCGACTAATCTTTTCCTAATATGACAAACTTTTGAACTAAAAAAATTGTGATGCTATTTGTTGATTATATTCTGTTTGGTTTTACTTATATCCAAATAATGCAAATATCAGACCAGTACAGGGTATTCTGAGTGTGGCCTTGCCAATGAAATAAACAAAAGTATATTTTGTTAGCAACAGAAAACAGTTTAAGCAAATTTTTATTTTAATAATTAATGTTTGATAATATATAAAGCTCCATTTGTGATTACATTTTTTAATATATAGTATAATAAATTTTTTTCTATATCTGTTTTTGATTTTTGCTTTAATTTTGTCAAAATTTCTGCTATTATGCATTATATTTTTCATCGCTGAATTTGAGTAATTATATTTACCATATTTATCATTATTTCACTTTATCTGCTAGTTTATTCATTGTGTTTTTACAATTTCATTGAATTTTTACAATTATTGCTACATTTAAAAGTAACATTAATGTTGTATCATCAGTATATAATTTGCACTTGCAGCTAATAGGAAAAAAAATTTGTTTTTAAGCTTATGAACTGTGTAGTACGCCACTAATATCTTTGTTCTGAAAATTTATGTCATCTTTTTAAGTACTTTAACAGTTGTTAATGTAAATTTGGTTTCTTAATAATTTGAAGAACATAATGAAATTAAAGCCTAAAAAATTGTCTTCTTTTCTTCCTAAAAAATTGTCTACAAAATTTTTTTTTTCTACTTTTTTTTTTTTTTCAATTTCCAATTAAATATCTCAAATGGTATATTTAAAAAAATTTTTTAAAACTTTAATTATTTTTTTGTTAGCATAAGTTTTGATAAACATTTTTATTATAAAAATTTATATATTTACAGGAAGTAACGGTCCACAAAAGTTTTGTATAGAGAAGGTTGGTAAAGAAACATGGCTTCCACGAAGTCATACATGGTATATACTTTTTAGTTATTGTTTTTCAAACTTTTTTTTTTGTTTTAAAACTAAGCGAGTAAAAACTAAGCAAGTAAAGCTTAGTTGCAATGACTATTTTGTATGGTAATGGTGCTTGATACAATGAGTAACTCCTATGATATCCTATAATTGAGGTTTTTTTTAAACAGTGTCTTCCCATGATTGAGATTTTAATTTACAGTTCTAGAAACAGTGTCTGATTTTTATTAAAATTCACATTGAGTTGAGGAAAGTCAACTCAATGTGCATTTTGATGCACTTCAAATCAAGTCAACTAAACGCGATTCTGTATATTGATAATATACAGAATTTTTACTTTTTGTAAAAACGTTTCAGTTTTGTTTTTGTTTTCATCTATAATACAATAAAGATTATCAGTGGTTAAAAAATTTTAAATCACTTTCATTCGTTTTAAAATGTTTCAAAATTTTCAACCTTTTTTATTCACTTTCATTCGTTTTAATGTTTCAAAATGTTCAACTTTTTTAATCACTTTCATTCGTTTTAAAATGTTTCAAAATGTTCAACCTTTTCACAACTGTAACAAAATGTTTTTGCAAATTTCTTGATTTTTTTGCATCAATACACTTTATCTTACTTGACGATTGAAATAATACATTTATTTAAAACATTTTTTTATTTAAAACAGTTTAAAATGAAATAAATAATAATAAAAAAAATAAAGTTTTTGTGTTTTAAAAGTTTAATTATTTAAAAAACTATCATGAGTTTACTTAGCTAAAAACAGCTTTTAGAATACCTTTGCTAAAAATGGTGGCTCATTTTTTGTTGTTGTTGTTGTTGTTGCTGTTGTTGTTATTGTTGTTGTTGTTGCTGTTGTTGTTGTTGCTGTTGTTGTTGTTGTTTTTATATTATCTCAATTCACCTCCCCAAAGCCATGAAATCCACTACAGTCAAAGAAGCTACTTTTAATTGTGGTTACAACTCTAAAACTCTGAAGCACGATCCTTGACAAACAAGGCTGCTGCGCAAGGAAAATGTTGAGCGCGGCACTACCAGAGATCGAAATCGATTTGATCAACTATATTCAATATTTATTAACCAATTGCTTTTGCAAACTTTTTACCTATCCAGTATTTAAATAACTTTTATATATTTAATGTCTAATTTATCCATATTGAAATTTTGGTGTATCTTCTTTGATCATATTTTTATTTGTGACACCAATCACTTACAATTTTTTAAAATTTTTTATTATTAATATTAATTTTTAATAAGTTATTACAATTATTTTTATTCACTTATTTTTACTGTTACTTTTTATTATTAACAGCTATTTTTTAATTAGACTTTAATTACAAATTTATTTTTATTTTTCATTTATCAATTTTTTAGTATCACTTTTTAGTATTTTGTTATACATAATTATACATAATATATTACTTATATATTCAAAGCAGAAATGTAAAATTGTGTCAAAAAATTTGTCTCTAATTTTCTAAGCTGGTTCTGAATTTCGGTGACAAGTTTAAATATCTAAGTATATAGTTAAAAAACAACTGTTACAATTTAAAAAAATTAATAATAATATTTAGTAATATGTGTATTTATAAATGAAAAATTTCTCCATTTTTTTGATAGAAACATTCAAAAAATTTAGATACAGTTCCTTTGTGTTGACAACATAAAAATATTCTGAAATTTTTAAGTTTCAAATATAGTTATAACTACGGAAAATTAGTTGCATTTGGGAAATAAGATAATGGGAAAAACATGAATCTATCTTACAAAGAATTTTTTTTTTTAGCTTCAATCGGTTGGATCTTCCTCCATACCGAAGTTATGAACAGTTACTAGAAAAGCTTACATTTGCAATTGAAGAAACTGAAGGATTTGGACAAGAATAGTTTTACTTCACGGCATCGAAATATTTTCATTATCGTATTTATTTCTCAATTGGTTCATAATAAATTTCAAGAATGGTTATTTATTTTTTCCTTTTTTTTTTTTTTTTTTCAAAAAATTTTTTATATATCACTCTAGGTCAAATTTTTATGAGACTATTCTATGTGACTGGAGTTAATCATAACTCCTTGTAATCCACATTTATTAATTTATTTGTTCAAAATGAAAATGAAAAATTCTTATTTTTAAAGACTAATGAAGAAGCATTTTCAGAAGTCTTTGTACTTTTGTAAGAATGAGATTTTATACATAAATTGTTTCTTTTCATTTAATTTTATTTTTTAAATTAATGATTATTGTTGCTATGATAAAATTTCATAAGAAAATATTTTTGAGTTACTATGTTTACTAAGTACATATTATTAAAAGTTTTATTGTGTGGTGCATTATGGAAACGTCCATATTTTTCTGCGTTTATTTGTCTGTAATTTTGTTTTGCCTACCAACTATGGTTGTTTAAGGGTTGTTGTTTTTTTTTTGTAACATCAAGCTTGTTTTTTTCTTTTCTTTTTTTTTCTGTATTTAGAATACAATTGAAAGTAAAAATGGCTTTTTTTTAAATGACAAACTTTTTTGACGCATTTTATTAGAAATTGTTATTGTTGTCGAACATTTTGTAAAATATAACTTTTTTTAATTTTGTTTTTTTGTTTTTATTTTGTTTTGGTTTTAAAAATCATTATATTTTTAAAGCGACATTTTAAATCATTTTTCGTTTTTATTTCTTTTTTTTATATGTAAAATAGTTGCTCTACCAAACAAATGCTAAAAACAGCAACAATAATTTCTGGTTTTGAAAAAAAAATCTTAGTTTATGTATAAGCAAATGTAAAAACCATCTACCCCTATATCATTTTTCATGTCATTACTTTCTTGTTTCATTACGTAAAACGTTTTTTTTTTTTAATGCGCCATTATTTTAATTCTTTGTAATTTGTATGTATAATTTTTGAAATGTGCAACGAGTTTATAGTTTATCAAAGCTAAATTGTTGCTGACGTCATTGCGCTTATTTTTATATGTCAGTTGTTGTATATACATTTCGTTTTTTCTACCTTCTGCTTTATGTGCAAACAGTTAAAGTAATAACTTTATAACAATGATTTATGCTTATAAAACGCTTATACTCGTTAAATTGTATTTTTCCACTTTTTTATGTTTATGTATACATAGTATCATGTACAATAAGCGTTTTATTCTTCAGCATCAACGCAGTATACGTGAATGGACTTCAAACTTAATAAATAATTTTACTAAAGATACTCATAAAGTTAGGCAAATTGGGGACCCGGTGCTCCGCCAGGTTGCGAAACCAGTTGATTTGGCAACAATAGTTACACCTGATTTTAAAAAACTATGTGATCGCTTAGTATCTACATTGCGACGACATAATGGCTGTGGAATAGCCGCACCACAGATTGGTGTTCCTCTTCAAGTTATTGCGGTAGAATTTACAGGATATGATTTAAAAGTAGCTATGGACAAATATGGCAGCAAAGGAGTTTCGAAACTTCAAATGAGTCTATTTCCTTTAAAAGTGATGATCAATCCAAAAATAAAAATTATTGATCCAACAATGTTGGCACTTAAAGAAGGTTGTCTGAGTGTAAAAGGTTACCGTGCTATGGTCCCTCGAGCGAAAGAAATTGAAGTTGAAATGTTAAATGTAAGCGGAAACACAGAGACGTTTCGAAGTTTGGGTTGGACCTCTAGAATTATTCAACACGAAGTGGATCATCTGCAAGGAAATCTTTTTGTTGATACGATGTTATACAAAACTTTAATAAATGATAGTTGGAATGAATTTGTAAACTGAAGTTTAAAAATATTGTTTTGCATTTTAGTTTTATAATTTGAACTTTTTTATGCAAAAAACTTCATATTAAAGCTATTCATATAAATTTTTGTATGTATTTCAACGGTGCTCTGGTCTAAATACTTTTGGCCGCACAGCTTCACAAATTAAATATAGGCTATGATTTTGTGCCTCGCAAAATTAATTTCTAATTTTTATCATCTACTAAGTTAAAAAAACCATACAAATTTTAAATTCTTTTCCCTAAACGTGTATAATTTGAGCTGTAGTATGTACTATAAAAATATAGTATATATTGCACTGTACTGCTATAAAAAATACGATATATATTGCAAAGAAAAATACAGGATATATTGCGCTTCGTACTGCTATGAAAATACTATATATATTGCGCTGTGCTGCGTTAATAGAAAACCTATAAAACTTATTAGAAGACAATAAAACTGTATGTAGCCTGTTCAAAACTTTTTAAAATTTAACCATATTTACATTTTTACTTATTCTCTCCTAACTCGTTTTGTTCTCGCCTACCCTAGTTACAAAGTTCAATAAGATCCTATAAGAATTTGGAACAAAAAAAAATTTCAGATTTGAACCTCATTAAATTAAAACACATATGTTAGTAGTAGTAGTAGTTTAATTCATTTCGCCGTTTAGAATATATACAATGATGATTCACCATTTAATGTACAAATATAACAAAAGGAAATGGCTAGAGCAAGAAGAAGGCATAATAAGCCTTATCACAGAACCCCATTACAAACGTATTTAACAAGTCCGTAAAATATTGAAACATATATATATATATATGTATGTATATATATATATATATATATATATATATATATATATATATATATATATATATATATATATATATATATATATATATATATATATATATATACATATATAATAAGAAGTTAAGAAAAAAAAAGGTACAAAAAAATAAAAGTAAAGTTAATTAAGAAAGAAATAAAATGTATAAATATATACGTGTATATACACACACAATCATACATGCTAACATATACATATATACATATTGCCTCGTATTGTCGTTTTCATAATAAAATGAATAAAATTCCATTCACAACAACATAAAGTATTTAAAAGTTTCAAAAACAAAATAAATGGATAGTTTTTACAAAAACAAAATAAATGTTTTTACAAATAGATACTGCATATTTAAAGTAAATAAATTTTTTTTTTTTTTCAATAAATATAATATTTAAAATAAATATTTTTCAAAAAAGTGTGATAAAGACAGATATTTATAATAATACAATAGTTGATCTTATTTTTAGTTTTTTAGTAGTCAACATGTTAAAGTTGATAAAGTTAATGTATTGTTATAAATTTAGTTTGATAACTTCTAAAACAGACTGGCAATATTTAGAATATTAAAATCCATATTTACTAAATTATATTTTAAAATAGCTTTAAATTGCGGAAATGTTTGTTTTGTATTATGAACAATCTGTTTAAAACTTTTCCATAAAAAAGGTCCCCGATACTGAATAGAATAAGAACATAACTTTAAATTATATTTTGGAGTTACAAAATTTAATTTGGAGAATCTTATGGAGTATTTGTGGCTTATTTCACTAAAATATTGATTAAATTTAGTTGGAAATAGCTCTTGCTTTATTTTATACATGAATTGTTAGGCTATATATATATATATATATATATATATATATATATATATATATATATATATATATATATATATATATATATATATATATATATATATATATATTAATTTTAAACACGTTTAATTTCTTTTTTTTTTTTTCTTTTTTTTTTACATTTAATTTGCTGTTTAACAATAAATATACAAGAAAAAAAATATGTCCGTAGAACAAAGAGTAAAATCTTGTCAACAAGCACCGTTTTTTTGTATACAGTATAAAATATAAACTTTTCTTATTTACAATGATCTTTATATAATAAAGAGTTAAACAGACAATGGCTCAAAGAAGATGAAGATGACAATACGTTATCGCCATCTTTTCATAGAGCCCCTATATACACTTTCCATAAAATATAAATGTTAAATTAAAAAATCTAATGGGCATAAAACTGCTGCGCTGATCAGTAAATCAAATAAAGATAAAAAATAAATAAAATTCCTTGGTAATTCCTTTAAGCGCAAAAGATTCTCAAATTTTAAAAATTTCTATTTTACTTAAATGAACTTAATTAATGACTTTGCCATACATTTAAATCCTTTTTGATAACTATTCCATATATTTAGTCCTCGATATGCAATTCTACATTCAGTATATTTATTAAAGTTTTGAGGCAGTTTATATGTGTTACTTATATTTGCTCTTAGATAATAATTTTCATTTATGTTTATTTCAAACTTGTTATTAAAGTTTGCAGGAGAGATATTATTATTGAATTGATACATAAAGGTTAAATGTTGATAGATATTTATTTCAAAAACATCCTTCATTTTCATATCTTCCATTATTGGCTTAGCATGTTCACGCTTATTTTTATAGTAAATAATTCTGCACGCATGTTTTGTAGACTATAAATTTTTTTAAGTTTTAATGGTTGCGTACTTGCTCATGATATGTTTGCATAGCTGATGAAGCAATGAATTAGTCCAAAGTAAATTAGTTTAAGACTTTGTTTATTGATATATAAGCAAACTCGATACCTCACACCAATTATATTAGTGATTTTAGATTGAATATATATTATTTGAGGAAGCCAGGATATCTTCTCATCAACAAGAGTTCCTAAGAATCTAATACTGGCTTGTTTTTTGATTAAGTTATCGTTTAATATAACGTCAGGCAACTTAAGAGGAAGGTTTTCTTCTTGTGTTTTTTTGTGGAATAATATATAGTTTGTTTTTTCTGTGTTAAGTAAGGTTTTTTAGCCCAAAACCAATTGTTTACTTTATTTAGTTCAATATTCATATCTGCATAAAATTTCTTGATATCACTGTTAGTAAGAAATAGATTTGTATCATCAGCAAACATGATTGAATTCAGTTTTAAAGATGCATTGCAAAAATCATTTATATAAATTAAAAACAGGAGTGGACCAATGATAGATCCTTGGGGGACTCCACATAAAACATTTAATACTCCAAATTGTATATTACACACATATTGTCTTCTATTGGTAAAATAATTTTTAATCCAATTGTAAGTTGTATTAATTGTACCATAGTACTTTAGTTTATCTAATAGGATGGAGTGGTCCGATGATTCAAGCTGACTTTTTTTTTTTTAATATTTCGTCACTATATACTTTACATACAATTAACTTTAATTCATGTATGCATTTATAAATAAGATAAAAATTAAAATAATGGCAGAAGCAAGTAGAAGACTTCAGTCTTATCATCAAGCCCCTTTCATTTACAACTTAGCAATAAGTTTCACGTGAGCTTAAAGTGACAAAAAAAAATTCATAAGTAGCCTTGTACGTAAAAAACAAAGCCTTGTACGTAACAATCTGATAGATGTGTATAAAATAGAAAAACTATTTGTATTTTTATATAATCATCGTTTGTGGTCATCCAAAAGGAATAAGTTTTAGTTATTATTAATTTGATCTCTAAAAGTAGGAGAGTATGTTGACGTCACTTAAGTTAAATAAGTGCTGTTTGACAGCTGATTTGAAGAGATTTGATGGCTTAATGTCTTTTATTTCTTCTTTAAGGATCGAATTCCATAGCCGCGGCCCTCGAAATAAGATAGAGAAATCAGTTATTTTAAGTAAAGTTTTTCGAATGTTAAGGTTTTGAAAAGAGTACTTTGTTGGGTATTTTTGATCAATGGTGGAAATTGATTTTCAAAGTATTTTGGTAGTAAATTGTTTTGCAATTGAAACATAAATAATACATTTTGGAGAAGGTTCAGTTCATAAACATTTAAAGCTCCAATTGCCCTGAATAATGGTTTGGCATGGGTATATCTGTTAGCATTGCATACAATTTGACACGCTTGCTTTTGTTTTACATATATATTTTAGTACTTACCCAAACGATATTGCAATAGTTGATATAACTGTGAATGAACAAATAATATATACTTTTTAAGTAAGTTTTATTTAGAAGATTTTTTATTTTATGCATCATGTCGATTGACTTAAAGATTTTATTTTCGATGTGAAAAATATGATTCTTCCAACTAAGATTTTCTTGAAAAATTATTCCCAGGATTTTCATCGAATGGTCTCTTTCTATATTAATAATTCAATTATATTAAAAAACATGCTTGCATAATTCATATAGAATTATGCAAGCATGTTTTTGTTTTATATAAATTTTTGTCAACTTTGTGTAATTGGTGCTTGCCCATACAATATTAATATTAAATAAATATAAAAAAAGATACAAATTTTTTAAAAACCTAATGTTTAAGAATGGTTTTGCTTTATACATTTTTGCAATATTTCTTAAAAGTTTTCCAGAGAGCTTGTATGACTATTCCTAGATAAATTTTATGTTGCTTATATGAGTCTTCCAAGATAAATTTTATGTTGCTTATATGAATCTTCCAAGATAAATTTTCATCTAAAATAACACTTAAGAAGTTTACAGATGTTTGTCTAGTAGTATTAATTATATTTATTTTCAGATCAGGTAATTTTACAGGAAGATTATCTGTTTTATTTTGTTTATGAAATAGTATATACTTGATTTTTGTAACGATAAGTGATAGTTTATTACATATAAACCATTGGTTTGCTTTGTTATTGCTATATTCGTTTAGTTAAAAAGTGTTTGCAGTTATAAAAGTTTTGTCTTTTTTGTTGTTGTTGTTGTTCCGATATCCTATAAGTCCTAAAGGACTTTTTGGCTATGGTAACTAACTCTTAAAGCAAATAAATGTTTGAAACTGATTCTTAAATAAAAATAGTTTTAATTCATAAAAGAAACATTTATACAAAAAATTAATTGTTTGCTATATTTCATTTCTTTTATAGTTACAATTTATTATTATTATTATTATAGTTGTAGCCGTAAAATATACATACCATATATATATATA